ATGGTTATACGATTAGTCGTATTGATCAGTTGATCTAGGTGTATAAACCTACTTTATATTCATAAGTAGTTATCGGAAGATACAAACGCACATTTACTATGGCAAACAAAACACTGCTAAGAAAGTGTAGTTTGATAAAAGCAAAACATTGAAACACATCATAGAAATAATAGTCTGATGATAACAAAACATCAAGTATACAGGTATGCGCAAAATATCATGTTCTGCAAAATTGTCCCGGAAACACTCAATAGTTTGAACCCGGCCGGTCTCGCACCTATTTCTCTACAAAAACGCACAAACTTATGATCAATCGCGTAAACCCCTGATACATAGCACTTTGCATTCACTTACCCTCCGGATCTTCTTTTAGTTTTTTTTGCATCATCAACTTTCGCAGAACTTACCCCTGCGAACCCAGACCGACGCTGTAATTTTCACAATCCGACTCTTACTTGGACCCACATTAGGAGCGATCCACAAACAACCACCCCATACTAGTTATACACATCTAGCATTAATACTTAATTCTGAGAACTAAATACTCTCAGATATAATTTTAAATATTATATTTATAATCAATAAAATACCCTAATAATCACACTGTTATAACAACACCCACATTCGAAAGCATATTTGCGCATTCCATGAATGATTTTATCACGAGGCAATTTTTAGCACAATGATTACGCACTACATACAGACCTTTTCTGATTAAGAAATACCTACTTCTTTAACATATAAAGTATACTCACTGCGATACCGATAGATACACATATATGAATTACCTCACTATACGCGTTAATATAACATAACTGAACTCCATTTTACACCTTAAAAAAACTCACATACACAAGTTTACACAAATACTCAATTATTAAACAGCATGTTGCAAATGGAACCCACATACACCTGTATACACATCAACCCATTTTCTTGCAAATTGAAAATCTACATACAAACACGCAATGATTAACCTAACCGAAGCACATCCAAGAGAGATTCACAGTTACTCGCAAAACAATATAGATCATCAGTACGCTCCAATTGCACTCCTAATTTCGTCAAAAAATAATGAGATCACCAAAACATTAACCGAACCTTCGACTTTTTATTCCTTTAATGTGCAAACCTAACTTGCAATCTCTTGAAAGCTCCGACTCATAACACTGCGCATACGCATATCCTCCATACCCATTTTTATCCCCCCACATCCCCAACTCTCTTCAACCGTATCTAAATGTCACGATCCAACACGTACTGAGTCCCACAAGAGCAACGAAGCACAGGCAACCACCGCCTACGTAAAAATACACAAGTTGCCTTGATGAAGGAACTTGCACAAAAAAACTATACCCTCCAATGCACAATTCTTTTAACTAGCCGGTCCTCCATTATAGACCTGGACATATCACCTAAACGGATCGTTAACAACATCATCGGTCATGCTGAACATGCAAGATCGGACATAGTCCTTCACTACCATTCATACCCATCCCCTACACTCAATACACTACGCATACTGCTACGCCTAGTCAATGGCACTTCTAATACAGCCTCCCACTCAACAAAATCAATCTGTTTTTCCGCATGCTCTTGTAGCAGATCACTTGTCAGCAGTCCCACCATCTCCGCCACTACATCAACCCCTCCACGAGGAACCTCATTCGGAACATCCTCTGAGGTCTTTGAAACGAATACGGTCACTTCACAGAGTAAGTCTTCCCAATACCCTAAGCCCACGCACAGTTTCAGAACCAACCGCCCATCTGTCGTAACACGATAGTGACGAACAGCATCACGAGTAACTCGCACGCTTTACCTAAAATCCCTACCACCTCCATCACCCCGACGATGACGGAGCTCCTGAATTTCAACGGTCTTGTCATGAACCTCACCCACGCACGTGATAACCACATCCATGATTGAGCTAAGATCTGGCCACACTGATATTTCCTGTCAGGTCCTCGTCGCGCGTTTCGTGTTGCCTCCAACACAGGATAACCGCCTACGAAGATGCAAAGCTACTCTGCCGATCACATGCAAATTCCTTGCTACGCTTTGCAGAAATTCAGTTAGCTTGCTTAGTTTCACCACACGAAACGATGCACACTATCTCCACAGTCTACTGTCCACAACGCAACAGGTGTTGCTGCATGCCACCGTGCATATTGGATACCCCATAAACAAAACCAAGCAACTTACAAGCATACTAACAAGTGGCGTAGGCTCCTATTTTATACCTATCCTCCCATCAACCTAACCCGACGGCCCCACACGCACATGCACACCCTTGTTTGTAAACAATTCTCTATAAACAGATTGGCCGCCAAAATATTTTTAAAAAAAAACTTTCAAAATATCGCCCTACCCTCGATTATCTCATACAACCAACATAGTAATAGCGCAAAAGCAAATAAGCATTCCTTGATGGATAATCCCCGATACAAGATGCCTGCATCAAAACCCAACTAGAAAATACCAACATAAGTTAAACCTCAGACGCTTACACAGCGATACTCCCATTTTTTTCTATTTTTTGACAAAATATATCTAAAAAACAGAATAACTGTCTTAAATTGTTTTAAATTCTAGAACATTGTTTCCTAAAATTCAAAATTTATTAAAAAATAAAAAAATAAAAATAAAAATTAAAAATTAACCAAAATGGTTTTTAAATATATAGACAGGGTTGCCAGACCGAACGTACGGAGGCCCCTAAGCTGACCCCCGAACGTTCGGGCGTTCGGGTCCCCGTATGGGACCCGAACCTGAAGGGGTTCGGACCCCGCAAAAAAATATTTTGGCACCTAAATATTTTTATTTTTTTCTGAATTTTGTTTTGTGAGTTCTTTGGGATGTAAGGTATCTCCATCGAAATTTTGAAGCCATTCTGCTTATCCAACAAAAAATGAAAAATCGGCAAAGATGGTGTTGTCAAAACTTGCTTGCCCACTCACTAATTTGTTTTTTCTCTCTTTTCACTTTTTGTTTTTCCTTTATTTCGGGGCATGAACAAACTTATTATTTTTTCAAAATTTATTTGTAGATTCTCTATTATGTAATATACAGATATATAAATTTTCATGGCATTTTTCACAGCCAAAAACAAATGAAAAATCGCCAAAGATGGTGGTGTCAAAAACGTGCTCGCCCACTCAATAATTTCATTCTCGTTTTATTTTTTCTAATTGTCATTATTATTATTTATTTTTAGTATTTTATTTTAATTTCAAATTTGGTAAAGAATTTGGATGTAACGTTGAGGCAAATGTTGTTTAGTTTATTCTTCTCCATAACATATATTTTTTTCAGAGTTTTTGAAATTCTTATTTTTTTTTTTTTTATTTTTTTTTTTTGGGTTCGAGTTCGGCCGAACACCCGAACGCGTTGAGAGGGGGTGCCGAACGTTCGGGCGTTCGGGTTCGGGCGTTCGGCCCGTCCCGAACGCCAGCAACCTTGTATATAGATATAAAAATAAAATAAAGTATAAAATCAAAATCCAATAATTACACTTAGTACACCAAATTAAAATTAATTCTTCACTTTTCATAAAATTATTATAAAATAAACAGCAAGATAAGCGATAAATATTAGCACACGCTTCTACCATCACCAAGAAATACGTGATAAAGTAACAGACACCCTATACGCACTCTTGTCACCGACTGACAAGACTACTGACTCTTCGATATTACATACATACACATACACTCCACTATATTTAAACGCTACATTACATAAAGTATGAATCTGCCCCTACCCCCTGTTCTTGTCAGTTCTCGAAACATAATGAACCCAACAACATTCCCAAACTCAGACAAAACTGTTAGTTAGCCAACATGTCTAAGGAGTGCTGAAAAACTTGTTAGCAGTATATAAAACAGTACTGACTACACAACCGCAACGTGTGCAGGATGAAAAAAGCATCCTCATGGGATGGCATCCAGAGCTCGCTAGTGCCATCAGACCTTTCGCAGCACTACGACCGCCCACAGCACACTGCCAAATCGCCATGATTGCCATCCCTGCAGATGTCTTACTGCAGGTATACCAAGCCACGCTGGGACGAGCCCCATTTCTGATTGAAAACCTCTCTTTCAACGACTGGGCTTCGCTCGTCCATATCATGCAAAACAAGCCAGAGGAGCTCGATGCCAAAATAGAGGACCTTGCCAACAACATCGCGGACTCTTGCAGAAAGGCGGCCATCAAGAACAGAGAACTGAACCTTATCATTGCCAAAGTCGAGAAGGTCATCCTCGAGCTACATGGATATGATACGTCACACCTAGACTCTGCAGGACAGGTCTCTATCACAGAGAGAACCGAAACCTTCAGCGAGACCTACATCAATCGCATGTCGCTCTCGCAGGCCGAACTCGAGTATTTCAGAAAGAAGGAAGCTCAATGGAGGAACAATGCACATACTGAACTCACACCGATCACAAGAGATGCTGGACATAAATATGCTAAGAATAACCCATTTTTGCCGCTGGCATCCAGCACCTGGACGGAAAAGGCTGTACTACGCGTCCACAACAGGCTATGAAAACTCGATACCTTCAACTACGCAGCGCCAATCAGTGTCGAAGCTTACATGGCGCTGGCTGGGATCACAGAAGCAGAAGTTGACAACTGTCGCGCTGCTGCTAGGAATGGCACTATCTACTTTCCTGCGACAAGATACGGTTTGGACGCAGAGTTCCCGCCAATTTCCAATCTTAAGAAGGGGAAATGTCCTAAGAGACTGCTCCTCCACCAAAAAGGCATCCCAAAGTTCCCCATGAATCTCTCTGAGCTCAAGAAGATCTTGAATGCAGGAAGACCCTACGTGAAGTGTTCATGCAACGGATGTCAGAGCAACTTCACGTGGTTTGATCACATGATCTGGTACGTCATCGGTAACTTGGATAAGATAGATCCACAGGCTCCATCGGACAAGATCAGGATGCTCGAGTTCCAAGCACTCCTCCAAACAACATGGAGAAAGTCGATTCTCGCACAAATTTCCTTCATTTTCATGAGAGAGTACATGAGCAAGACCGTGAACCTCCTCATACAGAACAGTAAAATATCTGCAGAAGAAGTTCTGGAGCATGAAGACCTCAGACACGTGTCATTCGCCCACAAGTTCGTTGCTGCCCTGCTCCCCGGCGCGGATGTAGTCGAATCACAATTGGCAACTGTAAGGCCATCCACAGAAGCTGAAGACAATTTGTTGAGAAGATGTAGGCAAATGAGACTCGGTAACACGCCGTCTGCAAACGCCTCGCTCACCACACCTGTCCAAACGACTGCCACCACTCCTATACAACAAACAGTGACTGGCCGTCGGCTCCTCCACTTGCAACACGCAATGCACCACCAGCACACCATCCCGAACCACTCCCACTCTTACCCCAACAGCAAACACACCAACTGGAACTGCAGCACACGCAACACCATTACACATTGACAGACAGCCGCCACTGCACGCTGCAGTAGCAAGTGCACCGTACCATAGCACATCATCTGTGAATCTGAGTTCCACAACAAGTACGGTTACACACACAATACATGGAACTGTGAACAACACAGCGCTCAACGGCAATGGCAGCTCCTTACACACGCCACAAAGGCACAGTGCCAATGCAGGAACCTCACACAGACCAACAATAGAACGATTTGCACAAGCACAGTCGAGAAGTAATGCCTTTGCAATCGCTGCCACACAGCTCGTTGCACGACAGACCGCTGCAGCTGCCACGGTCATCGCCTCCCCCGCAACCGCCACCACCTCTGTGCAAACCGCAACAAGACCAACTGACACCACACACAATGGTTACACAACGCCCGTGAACAACCTAACCACTATACGCACCACACACATCATTGATAACATAGAACCCAGGACCACAATGTCGCTCCCAGCGCACATAAGCTCACACATGTTCAATCAAACTGACACAGTCCCCACAGACAGCCAAAGGCAGGCTCGCCGGCGTGAACAACTTCTCAGTATTGCCATGAATCCACTTCCAATTGAGGCCAGAAGAAACCGCAGAAGAGGCAACAAAACGCAAAGGGTGCAGCTTCTGCAAGCAGGGACACAAATCAAGAAGCAAACCAGAAGGAAGAAGCCACAGTACGATGGGCGACAACAGACATACAGGAAGCCTTCCTGGCGCAACAGCTACGACGACCATTGATTGCAACTCACCAATTTGTTCCATCGCAAGAGGCGGCAGGAACAGCGACTCACTTTGCACCAACTAGTGCTCCGTTGCTTCCAAGAGGAGAACGAGGATGGATGTTACAGACTGACCAGATCTTGGGACAATGGACGCAGAGAGATGCAACTGCGGCAATACCTACCTCCGAACGACAGAATGCAACAAACGTCGAGGTTATCCAAGTCAACAGTTGCGACATCAATGACGGAGAGAGAAGACAACTACCCATCACGATCAGCTCCCCATCGCCAGATACCCCTATCCGGCCTCTCTCTAGTATAGACGACCTGAGAACAAACTATGGAGCAAGTAGTGCGGACTCTTCGCTGCTCCGAACCAACAGTGGAAACTTGACGCAGCTGGCAGAATCCCAATCTTCAGAAGAGTCATGGAAACGCGTCTGCAGAAGACTTAGTCCGGATTATCCATACAGCCTTCCTAACTTGGCCAGGAGCTAGCTTGACAGTGAACCGTAACAGACTACAGAACCATGTAGGGACGCTAATCCGTTCTTGAGTACTCCCTAGGAATAATGTTTAAGTCCTGAGCTTCCGCTATGATAACTAAGCGGGAAATGTGCAGATGATGAGCTATACTGCAATTAGACAGATCACTAACAGACTCCCCCTGCAAGGACACCACACGAATTTGCTTAAGACTAATGAGAAACCTTAACGCACTATGACTACCGGCATATGACTCCCTTCGAAGGTAGTAGAACGGACCACTGTGAGCTCTAAACCAGTACCTGTACAAGTACTATTTAGAACTCGATGTATATTTAAAAAAAAATAAAAAAAATTTGATGAACAGAAGATGTAAGGATACAAGAGAACCAAGCAATTCAGATGATTTTACTATGTTCCCTGTCTCATTAATGTTCGCTAACTAGATAGAGAGCACAATTTAAGTCATCACTTTGATACACTCGACCGCATTTCATTACATTTCACTGAGCAGTTGAATAACTGAAATGACGAAATACCTATTGGCCCGTGTCTTTTCATTTACATTTGCAAACACAACTGAAGACAAAGGTATTCCCAGCTATAAGTGGTTGTTGCATTTAGCGTACAATTGATTAAGTAGATCTCTGCATATAAGACCTGCACATCTCAATCTATCCTTGTTCTATCTGAAAATCGTTCATAAGTGGAAAAATGATTGGGTCACTTATCTGACAATATAGTTCATCCCGCATGTCTGTGAACCCGTCCCCGTGCCTGGTCGAAGTGTCATACAAATGGAAACATATTTCTTCGATAGTCATCGTGCTCACCAGTTTACTTTAATAGACTGCATGCTTGCTTTGCAGTTGTAATAGATCTCAGTAACTACAAATACCGGATTACAGATGAACAAATAACTGCATACCTGGCTCAACCTTCTACCGAAAATTGATACTCTCACTTGCCTGTCTGTGCTCATTCATGATCTGTTTAAGCAAAAAAATAGTCCATGAGATAATATGTACACCGCAATGGTCTTGTCTGTATCTACCGCAACATAAAGGTGCTCCTGCCGATCTGTCTCTATGTTTGCCTGAAGAATCCTTCGCAAGACCATGTACCTCTGGTCTCTTGCATACTTACCGGGTTGACCACATCCCGTCATTATGCCTGTATAAATTCTCACAAACACATTGAAATACTTGTTACAGTATGACAAAAGTCCACATACTACTGTTTAACGGTCCGCATGAACACACCCTCAGAATATGCCTTTGTTAGTTTCAGCTCGCCCTCCCAAAAGGCCAGAGCATAGAGAGGCAGACATCTTTGACTCTGCATTACCTGTTTGATTTTCAGCAGAACGTTGCTCAGGTCATGCAGATGAAAGGACACAATTGGTCAATATAGTACGTGTCCAACGAATCTTGATACACCAAACCTGTATATAAAGCATCAATAATGGGCTTATAAATTTACGCATGAATGTCCTCAAGTATGTATGAGTGGTGGCTCATGATAGTTCCTCTGTCTGCTGTAGGTCCATCTCTGATCTCACATGCGTGTGTCCATGTGTGAGCATCTTGTTGTTTGGAGAAAACCACACATGCAAATTGTACACTTGAAATCCATGAATAACAAACTAGAATAACCCCAACGACACATACCCTCTGAAAAAAAAAACACCTAACCCCTACCCTTTAACAACCCCCATAACCTTAACCAGTAGACACATGCCCAGACAGTAAAAAGCTATGCAGCACTATATAAGACCACAAAAAGTTTCACCAACAAACTAGTCAAATTCATGAGCAAAGAACACCATGACTGCTGTTACACAGGTACAAGCGCAAGATTTGCAGTATCCAACCGTTGCCTAACATACCCAAGGCGATAAGACTGCAGGTTCAATTAAGCAATACCTGCCATATTAACTCCCCCAGCCCCCCTGGAACATCACTACTGAAAATGCAACACAAAACATGAGTTTGTTGGTACTGTATCCAGGCTCAGTCGACCTATTATTTGTCATATGTGCAGGATCGACGGCTTCAGACAATGGAGGATGGAAGACTTGGCTGGAGAGCAAGCAAAGAATTAGACAAACAGATCATCTCATGCCACTATACGAACCGAATAATGAACCGGATGCAATTCAAAAATATTTTCAAAAACATACTACTTAAATATAACCCAGTAGCCCTACACGTCCTTGAAAAATTCACCTTTTCATGGACATACAATGACCATATAGCGAAATCACTTTATAAACCAGCTGCAACTTTTCGGGATTTCAAACTGTCAACGTGGACAGAACAGCTCCCTGAGAGATGCTTCTGCAAACAACCCAGATATGCACAGTATACCAACGAACTCCCAATCGGCATGCTTCCCGAAGGAGAACAACCACACGTCACCACATTAGACCTTAATATTACGAGCAATACCAACCTTCGTGGTATCTTAAAAAATGGACTGAATCACATTCCACCCACACTACTTAATACAGATGAAGTTGTTTGTGCAGCTGAACTAGTATGGACACAGGTCATGATAGCCCTCTGAAAGAACAGTTCGCCGCTAACTGACTCTCAAGAAGAACAGGCAAAAATAGACTTTAACAAAGTGATCAACCGTAATCTTGAAAATACAACCACACATAAAGTAGTTAGCCTTAACGACCACGCCATCAAACACGAAATCGACTTTCTGACTAAAAAAATTTACACTTCTGGTGCTGACAATGCACCCAACACCCCGGTTTTCACCTGCATTAACCTTGTTAGATACCTCGCACTCCAAAGAATCAGCAGCCAAGACTTTGAGCCATGTATGTTCCCTGCTACTGAACTATTAGAAATCCTGAAACAACAACTAACATTTAAATTCCCACACATTCCTATTGGCAAAATAGAAATACCTTACCTTTTTGCCACATACCAAAAACACAAAAACTCCTTTCGATGGTTAACTAATGCAGCAAATGTTATCACCACACCATTGGCTGACCTAACTGCTGAAATACTTGCAGCCCTAATCCGAAGTGTGAAAATCCACTGCGGCATGCTAACAGAGAAAGTACTCACTAAAACAGGTCTCAGAGTCCCCTTCTGGTGGCCAATAGACTTAACATCGGACTATACATATAACCTCCCACAAAATATCTTCTCTGTCTTTTCTGCTGACATAACCTGCTGCTATGAAACAATCCCCACTGACGATAGCCCAGATGGTCTGCCGACCGCCATCCAATTTCTCTGTAAAATTGCCTTCAAACAGGCAAGAAAAACGCACGGAAAAAACCTTCAGCTTGCCTGCAAAATTTATGAAAACAAAGAAACCTGGATCACTACATGTGACTGGTTTGTAAACCCACCTAATGGATATCTTACCCTAAATGAACACATAGTCCAAAAAAATAATAATTGGCTAATAAAAAACGCTTACACATCCCTTGGCGGTAGCATCTGGAGGCAAGTGCTCGGCATCCCGATGGGTGTTAGCTGTTCACCTGTATGGTGTAACATATATTTTTTTAAGTATGAATTTAAATTCATGAAAAAATGACACACAAAAGCAATGTGAATCTGTTGCATCTTTTTCAGCACACCTTCCGATACTTTGACGATTTCCATATTATTAACAACCCTAGGATCAACGAGTTCATTAACCCACTCATAACCAGCCCACGCAGCCGATATTTTCTTTACCCACTCCACCTCATAACTCTTAATGAAACAACTTCACATAAAATACAATCAGAAAACGAATACATCGGAACGAAAGCTAATTTCCTCAACACCACTATTACCGTCATAAATACGAAAACCGGGCAACACATTACAAATAAATATGATAAAAGAAGAGAATTGAACTTCTCAATCACCCGCTTTATCCAAGCAAATTTCAACAGACTCCTCAAACAATTACTAAACCTCTTAATACCCCAAATCATCACCATCATGGCTATTGAATCGGAACCGCAACATGCTGCAAAAGAAATCATGATAACAATACAAGCACTAGTAAACAATGGATTCAGAAAGCACAGACTTCTTGGTGTCGCAGACAAAGTCCTGAGCAACCCTACGGAATGATTATGATTATGGATGAAAGGCACACACAGTATGCACAAGGTCAACAAAGAAAAGTTGACAAGATCGTTAAATTAGGAAATCAAACTCGAGTCCAAACAAACTTCCCACAAATCCCAAGATCCACCATCTAACCACTAACTCTCCTTCCGCTGACTCCCACCATTACCATCCGGATGGTGATGGCAGTTATCAGACGGTCGACTCCAAAGGTCGAATACTGTCTTCATCAATCCTAATATAGTCTACGGTACAACAACAAAAAAACAAGTCCACTCCAAATGGTACCGGACCCATAAGGAACAGAGTTCCAAAGGGTCCGAAAAAATCCAGAGGTCCAAGAAGCTCCGACTCCTGAACCGCAGGCAAGTCCTTGGTCCAACAACGCCGTTCCGACAAGCATGGGGCCAAACGCCCGTGACCTCCGGTGACCCTCCGGTCCAGAAATTACAGCCCAGTCGGAAAAAGCCAATTATGGAAGGAAACCCCTGTCCGAATGTCCAATGACAAATATGAGAAACTTGACAAGCAAAAAAAAACAAAAAAAAAACAAAAAAAACACACACATTCCTATGTATTGCAATGCCTAGTACAGGAGGTTAAGAGTATGACGCCAGATGTCATCCCTCCTCACAGCATATCGCTGTAGGACATTCTTGAAGAACAGATGGGGAAAATCTTTAAGCATCAGCTCACGCCGCAGGGCTCGAACGAGAGAAGGGATCTCAGATCTGATGGTGGTATTCTGATCAATACGGTGTAAGTAACTCCCAATGATTGCACTCTTCTGTCTCTTGCAACCCCAAGAAAGGTAAGACTGTCCATTTTTTACTTGAAGATCGTCCGATACCCACATACAATCATCGTTCCTTGATAATTGTACACAACCCAAGTATGGGTAAGATTGGGATACACGAATTTGGCAACCCAAAAAGTCAAGGTGGCCCGTCCCATCATCAGTGCGCTTCAGAGTCAGACTGCTAGGATAGCAACTCTCGAAAGAACGCAGAATATCCTTGTCGTCTTGACCAGCACCAGAGGACACAGCAAGCACGACATAGTCAATCAATCGTGAGCCAAAGCTAAGCTGCGCAGTCCTACCCATAGTACAGGTAAAACGATACTCAGCAAAAACACACATAATACAAGCCAATGGGGGGTTTGTGCTTTTCCCCATTGGAATCCCCAATTCTTGTTTTAACAGTACCCCGGTGGCGAAAAACTATGTGTGCTTCATCTCCAGATCAACGAAAGATCTGATACCGTTCAGATCCAGACGTCGCCAGTGATCGCCACTGGTCGTTACACCAAAACTTGCACCCTTCCCTCTCGTATTCACTCGCACGAAGCCCCGACCCTTCCTTGTATGGTAGTCCATGAGCCAGTCCATGCCTCGACTGATCTCATCATGAGGTAACTTGCTGAACATTTCCTTTACGTCAAAGGAAAAAGCAGAGACAGTTCGTCCAGCGCCAAGTTTTGAGAATCGTTTGTTCGCCGAGTGTAGTCTGTCAGCCAACGCAGAAACATACGGAAGGTTAAAATGCCAACCCTTAGGAACAAATTTCAGTAAGTAGTTCAGTGCTTTGGAAACCACATGACCGGTACGAACCATCGGTTCGTTGAAAGAAGGACAAATGGGTTGATAACGACTCAGGTCCTTATGTTTCGGTAGAATATAGGCTGAACCAAATTTTCCCTTTGCATCCCAACGAGAAAACTTAGATAAGCCAGCAGCCAAAACGTCCTCACGAAACTCCCGAAGTGTTTGACCTACAGTGACCGTCACAATACGGTTACCTGCATTGAACACAAAGGTTTGTAATATGGCTTCGTAGTAAGTGAAATGGCACGTTACTACAGTCTCCCCCGGGTTCCGATCAACACCGGAACATACCAAAGCACCGAGCTCGTTCTTCAGACTTAGGACATCATCCAGGGCCAGGAATCGTCCAGTATCATCGGAGTTGGCTACAAAACAGTGCTGTAAACGTTCATCCTTCACAGTAGGTACTGCGCCCCTGTGGTTATACAAGCTAGCGAAACCCGACTGCAATTCCTCCCGAAGCTGAGGTAAGCAATCATCCACCCGTGCACACGGAATATTCTTAGCATTACAAAGCAAAGGATTAATCCCCTCAAGTTCGCTGAGGCGAAATCTCACATGTCCATTCGAACGGGGCAAGTTCATACCCGAACAACAGCAGGTAAGCACATTGTGTGTCGACAGACTACGCATATTGTGCAGAATATCGGCAATAGTAGGATTTTTTGTACCTACTATCCGAATCTTCCCCTGTGCACGCCTCAAGAAACACAAAGGTAAGTCCAATTCCATCAAGGCATCATTGACAACCTTCTGAACCTCAGCCAACTTGATTCGATCATCAAAACGTACACGTAATATCAAATCCACGCTCAAGCTCAAACCAAAGTGTTCCCGAAAGCAACGAGAAACCAAGCGACGTAAATACTTACGTGTAGATTTTTTTGAAAAATCCTTAATCACAGAATAGATTCGTAACAAAGAGCGCATGTTCCAATTGCTAATTGTTCGAATCTTATTCGGATTACATAGTATCTGGATCAACACGCGTTTGAGGAATCCACACTTACGAGACCCCTTACAAGCATGTGTGACAGAAAATTCCCCCCCCGTTTCAAGTGCCCCCTTGAGGTCCTTAAGGCAGGCTGTACCAGCTTCAAACGAGATCTTAGTTTCCCCAAACGTCCTAACAAACTTACTCCACCCAGATTGCCAAATGTTGCCCTTCTGCGTACAGAATCTGACAACATTATTACCTGATGTCAAAACTCCATCAAAAAATGAATAAAAGTCAACACGCCAATCCGCCGTTGTAATGCAGCGAAAACGTATCGGTACCCAAGTAGATATATGAGCATCGTCATGTTGCACAACTCGCAAGCGCAAGCGCTCCTTCTTTCCTGGTTTTCCTCGCTTAATACCCTGGTTGCGCTTCTTGCAGCCAGATGTATTAAGGAAGGGAGACCAAAGTCGTATGTACGTACTCTCAAGTTTTGATAGGTCATCCCCTACCAACACATCAATGGGTAATAACAAGTAATTACCGATACCGAAGGAAGACAACCAACGATGAAAGTGTGACTGCGTACGAGAACGACAACAGTAAATGTGCTCCCTCTAATGCACATCAAATTACGTGTTGACTTACCGATGTACAATGATTTACAGAAGGGTGAAATACCGACATAAACGCAGTGAGACAGGTCTAGGAAATCTAAACCATGTCTACAATAGAGATCAAGCCATCGTGGCAAAAGTTTTTTGGCCCAGCGAATCTCCACGCCCTTATCAACGCCCTTATCAACACAAAGGGAAGCACAAAGAAGGTGAGTAAGAAAACGGCAAATACTCCAAAGCTGTGAGATCGCCAAGGATCTTCACACCTCATCTGCTGGTCGAGCGACATCCACATTGCTGACGGTATCGGAATCTGCTATCTGTATGACATCGGTGACGGTGGCGCTACCCGCAAAGGCTGCCTCTGTGCGAAAATCAGCAATATCAAAGATGACGTCGATCTTCTTATCATAATGCAAACCTTCCTCTCGACAGATCCGTTGAAGCTCGTTAGCATCCAGGTCCTTAAGCTCACGTAGCGCCTCATCACGAAAACGCATGCGAGCGAGTGAGGCCTTGGACGCTGGAGTCACATTCACACTCGTACGGTGAGCTAGAGCTTTGCGCTTGGAGATGGGTGTTGCGATCTTCTTCTTGTTCACAAGTGTTCCCTTCTTCTCCCCGCGCGTCTTCGATCGAGCCATACGTGCAGACAGTTTGACCGGTTTCAATATCCCACGTTGGGGGGTCTTCGCTGGTGTGCGCTTCGCTGACAGTTCCATAGGCGCGCTGTTTTCGAACACAGGTTCGGGTCCCCTCTTCCTTTTCTCTGAGATGCAAAGTCTTTCCGTCTTCGCGCTGATCTCCTGAGTAATGCTGGTATCGCTGCTTTCGCCCGCGCTCGTAGACTCCGACTCATCTCCCGATTGATATGTAACCTTCGGTTTTCATTTCCCCTCGGCCATCACGTTCAACAGCTTCTGCACGAACCTATCCTCCATCTCGTCCACGTGAATGGCTAGCTGTATGTTCAAATCTTTCTGCATCTCCGCGCGTAGGTTAGCCTCCTTTTCAGCTTCCGCACGTTTCTTCTCCCTCGCTCTCTGTGCACGACGTTCCGCTGCAACACGCTCCTCCTCAGCACTTGCACGTTCTTCCTCCGCAAGACGTTCGGCTTCCTCCTTTTCTCGTTTCTTACGGGCCTTAGCTGCCTTCTTCTCATTCAACTACGAAATGTTCCTCCATAGCCGCTACACTCTGGCCAAGCTTGGCCAGGGTACTGGCTAACTATGGGGCAGCCTCTCGTCGCTCATGATGACCACTAGGTGATCTCGAGCGCCTGGTGTCCGCGGAGGTCGAAGGTCTTGAGCTCGAAAATTGACGACGGTTCGGGCACTGATTGGCATAGTGCCTAACCTCATGACAAGCGAAGCAGGTCGGAGGATGATAAGGTCTCCTTTCGCCAGCTTCATACGCGACTTCTGAATTGCTCCTTCTTTCTCTGTTTCGATCGGAACGCTCACGATCCTGATCATCTCGCTCACGGTCTCTGCCATCCTTCTCACGATATTCATGTGTCGACATATCGACTCAGCTTGAACACCGTCAAGTGGCCGAGCGCCACATTTGTTCACCTGCGCGGCTTGGCAACACTCCACTCGTAAACAGTCTTCAAGGCAGGATAAAAATTCCCTCCTAGTGGTGTCAACTACGTGCTCACTCCAGCTCGGCAGGAAGTTTCCACGTAAGTTCACACGCGCAGTCCAATGATTATGGATGAAAGGCACACACAGTATGCACAAGGTCAACAAAGAAAAGTTGACAAGATCGATGAATTAGGAAATCAAACTCGAGTCCAAACAAACTTCCCGTCAATCCCAAGGACCACCATCTAACCACTAACCCTCCTTCCGCTAACTCCCACCATTACCATCCGGATGGTGATGGCAGCTATCAGACGGTCGACTCCAGAGGTCGAATACTGTCTTCATCAATCCTAATATAGTCTACGGTACAACAACAAAAAAACAAGCCCACTCCAAATGGTACCGGACCCATAAGGAACAGAGTTCCAAAGGGTCCGAAAAAATCCAGAGGTCTTAGAAGCTCCGACTCCTGAACCGCAGGCAAGTCCCTGGTCCAACAACGCCGTTCCGACAAGCATGGGGCCAAACGCCCATGACCTCCGGTGACCCTCCAGTCCAGAAATTATAGCCCAGTCGGAAAAAGCCAATTATGGAAGGAAACCCCTGTCCGAATGTCCAATGACAAATATGAGAAACTTGACAAGCGAAACAAAAGTTTACCATTATGGAAGGAAACCCCTACGGAATACCAACCCTTTCGATGTGACGCCCTAAAGGTACTACAACTCTCACACGCATAAAAGCTTACCATTATTATAAGAAGCAATAACAGTAAGTGTGTGTCCGCCATCAAAACTGGCACGGTTCGGATGAAGGACCTACCCCCGCTGGGGTAGGTCCAACATCCTTGGACCTACCCCACTGGGACCTTCATCACGAGGGTACGGGGAGGGACACACACACACACACACACACACAACCGATTTTGTAATAATATGTAATAAGATTTTTTTATAATAATAAATAAATAAATAAATTAATTAATTAATTAATAAATTAATAAATAATAATTAAATAATAACTAAAATAAATACATAAATAATTAAATAAATAACTATATAAACTAGGCTACCAGCCGGGCGGCCCGGGTCCCGGGTGGCCAGCCCATGTAAGGACCAGGGAAGGTCCCAGCAAAAAAAAAAAAAAAAAAAAAAAATCCGAAAAATCCGAAAACAAACTATGTTATGTAGAAAAATAAACTGAACAACTTTTTGCCTCAGGATCACATCAAAATTCTTCACCAAATTTAGAATAAAAATTAAAATTTAAAAATTCTTTTATTATTTTTATTATTTTTATTATTTTTGGCCCGGCCGAGCAAGTGACCCCGGGCCACTGGTAGCCTATAATATAAATAAATATATATATAATTAATAAAATAATAATTTAATAAAAAGTTAAAAAAAAATAATAATAATAATAAAATAAAATACGGGCCTCTAGGTGCATATAAAAATAATTAAAAATATATATAAATAATAAAAAATTAATAACTACAATGACACACCCGGATTATTAGTCTGTCCCTAGATGATACCACCACGAATAAACCCATATGGTATGGTTAACTAAAACTGTTTTTTCATTATGCTACACTTGTGCTTACATTTTAAGTTATGGGATTGCCTAATTGCACAGGTATAATCCTACACATCTTACTAAACCAATAAATGAATGCGCCATCCCCCATCTATACTCCCTACGATCAAAATGACACCTGCAGAAAACATAAGTCCGAAACGACACTAATCCCGCTAGATAAGACAGCGCCCTCACACAAAAAAACAAACGCCGACCGGCATCACCTACTTCCTCCATAGCCAGACCGCCGCGCTCTGAATAAACAATACACTCACCTGCACGAGATACCGTTTTTTATTGCTAAAAACAAAACCAATGAATCCTATAACGTGAAAGCTACCTTGGCATGTTAGCTACAAGACAAGGCACGCATCACGTTTCACAGATAGCCTACTGCTATACAGACAATAACATACACATAGTCTTTGACCAGACGCCTCCGCCCTGCCGCCATGCACTCTAGAACGGTACTGTTTTTAGATACAACATCCCCTTACAGAAAACATGCCTCAAAAAAATAATAACCCCTCAAACATAACAGCAATTAGGGCATTCTAATCCCCCGCAAAGAAAGCCACATATATTGATTCACATTCAAACGTACACAGACATGGCGTCCACCACCAAACAACCCCATCCCCGCCATTACTCACCCTGAGATAATATCAGCACAAGACGATATAGAACCCCCTGATCCAGCAGAACACCAGACGCAAACCCTCAGCAAAGAAACAATACAGTTTCTACTAGCCCCCTACATAGTAATAAACGTATCTATTATTATCCTTCACCCTCCCTCATTAATGCTTTGTGCCACTTCCCCCCTAATTCACCTACCACGATCCTACCCCTACGCCTCCCAGCCTACTCCTTGAATGGATCCGATATGCAAAACCATACCTACATAACAATATAATATATCATAATCGTATTATGCACCTTCATGCTTACCTACATACACAAATGCACAATGCTGCATGCGGAGACGCTGAAATCGCTCTTCCACTCCTTCTCTGCCCCTCACCTCCCCGTAACGGAGGTCCCCTTTGCACGAGCCTGATTGCTCGTTTACTGCTTTGGGTACCTGAGTCCGGTCATACGCATCTCAGTGCGTCGTGCGCAGTGCTTACTCCGTAACTTTTACAAAGCTACACCCCGAGCTATGGCGAAATCGGGCATTCCTGCTGCACCAACTATGACTACTCAGGTTAGACTTGCTAACTACATATCCCTGAACTCCCTGGTATGGCTTGTTTCTTGACCCCTTACCCATACTAACAGGAGCATCTACTAAGCTAACCCCTCTGATGAGCTGCTATGGGTGCTAGGCGGCGAAAAGCGCGCTTAAGGGCGTGCACCCCCCCTATGGTTGGGTTTTTAAACCCTCTCCTAACATCGACTAACTTACTAACTCTAATCGCTCCTACGTAATGTTGTGTGTACACTGTGTGTGGCTAATATGGACTAATTGGGTTATGTCCAATGACCCCAATTTTTTTTTTTGTGGATGGCTGTGTTAATACACAACCCCCCCCCCCCCCCCCCCCCACACACACACACACAATCAATCAATCAATCAATCAATTTGATTGATTGATTGAGATTTGTTCGTTGATTGATTGATTGCGATTTGTTCGTTGATTGATTGATTGCGATTTGTTCCTTGATTGATTGATTTATTGATCGATTGATTGTGTGTGCATGTGTGTGGGGGGGGGGCAGTGTTTTGCCACTGGCCCAACAAACCTAAAATATGAAGAAAAAAAAATTCATCACCAGTTTTTTTTTT